TCGAGGTCAGAATTAAATTTAAATCCAGACATACCTAAAATATTGAAGCACACAGCTGTGTGCTCAACAGCCTTAGCATGGCCCCGTAATCCTGCAGCACAGCATCCCGGCAGTCACAGGGAAAGCCTATTAGCAGCTGTCATCTCCAAGTAATTGGAGGGGAAAAAAAAAATAAAATAAAAAAAAAAAATCTCCTCTTCCATTTCTCATCCACAAGATTTTTTTTCTTTCTAAGGCCAGCTGCATTTTGATCCTGTGCTACGGAACATTTTTATACCGGAGAGAAGCGTATCGGTACAGCGGCAGCTGCACATACCCGCATGCTATTTAGGCACCTCTGCCCAAGCTATTTGCAGGCACGAGAGGCCACGATGAACAGGAGAGGAGGCGTGCGGGACGCTACGGCTCTGACCGCTGTCCGTGAGCGGTTCTCGGTCAGCTCTGGCCTGCAGGGATAGCGTGTGAAGCAAGGGAAGACATCTGAACCCTAGATCTGAATCACTGATTTCAGAAACGTAGTCGTCTTTCTATGGAGCTGCTGTTAATCCTCACTCTGAAGTGCTTCATCTTCTCCAGCTTGACGGTCAGAACTGCACTCCTACCAAAATCAGGTCAGCATTTTAGTTGTGCACATCACTGTGCAACGTGTTACCTCATTTTTTATGTGTACGTATACGTTCACATCAGCAAGCTGATATTTTCTGCCACTGCGGGAAAACACACTTACACAAACCTCACATTATACTGCTCAGAAATGGCACAGACACCAATATCTGTTGGCAAGAAGAGTAAACAACACCTTAAAAAAAAAAAAAGCATAGCCAAAACACCAACCCATTCAAACTCGTACGAGATCACCACCTAGTAAACACCAGCTTTGACAGCATGTCCAAGTGATGCTAAAAAAAAAAAAATAACGCTGGTTTGCCTCCATTTATGTGAAAGGCACGCTGAACGGTTTGGCTGTCCTGACAAACTTGATCCGATAATGGCTTTTGGATGGGTTATTCTTGGCCCCCTGCGCAGCAGCGCTCGCTGCGCTTACCCTGGACGCTTTGCATGCAGCACCGTCCTAAGTGACCTCCTCCGCATGCCGCGCATACTTCAGACATTAAGCTAGATAATAAAACCACATACCGGATATCAGCAAGTGTTAATAAGATGTAATTCGTTTCTGGCAAGCCCAGAACTCAGATCTTTTTAAAAAAAAAAAACAAAACAAAACAAACACACACCAACAAAAACAGCACACACGCAGGTTCACAGGGCCAAAGTCCAAAAGGAGTTCAAATGCACAGAGCTACTTTCATCTGCCCAAGCGCCGTGTAATTAAGAACAATATTTGGAACGCGGCAAATTCCCCCAGAACCATAGGTAATAAAATTCAGATTTAAAAAAAAACACATGAGGAAAGGAGTCAATGAGAGCTCATCATTTGCACAGCGAGACTACGAGGTTTCTCCGCGCGTCTGCGAGGTCCCTCCAGTCCCCGCGTCCGACTGACCCCGGGAACGTCTCACTTGACTTCACCCCACCACGGGCTTCCTCTCCAAGAGCGGGGCCGGCGAGCTCCCCGCATCCTTGACTGCCGGCCAGAAACGCAGCAACAGCTCCAAGCGCTCCAAGACAGATCCTTCTGATTATCACAAAATGAAATTTTCAGCTCTTGTCATCATCGGCCTCAGATTTGTAATGTTACAAAAACATGATTTCCTTTCCCCATTGTATCAAGCCCTCTTCCATTCCCGCTGGTGAAATCAAACAATTTTAAAAGAATTTATATGATGCTAATTTAAACCGAATGTATTTAGCTGCTGATCGCAGTTCCCCGACTCTCCCAGGCCTCCTGCCAGCTCCGCTCTGTTCCAGAGCGGCTATCAATCACGGCCAACAGACCGAGGAAAAAGACCCAGCGATGCAAGAAGCGATACTGGTAATTCTGGCAGCGGGAACCCTGCCCTTCGCTTTCGGCAAAACGCCGTGAAGTGACCCCACGCAACGGAAGGCTCCGAAAGCTTCAGCCCCCCATGGCTTCTCGTCGGTGAAGCAGGCCGTGATACTTTTTGCAGGAATAAACCCAACACGTTGCTCAAATTCCAGCATCGCTTCCAACTCGGCTTTTGCAACTGGATGTGGCAAGTTGACCTTCCTCCCAGAGCCACTGTGCGGGAACGGTACGCATTTACTGCAGGAAAGCCATCGAGTCCAACCTTGGAGATACCCCTGTTCCCACAAAGGGTGAAGGCAACCCCTTCTAGAGTCCGCCCCTTGCTCTCATAAAACAGTATAAAACTGGGATTTGGGGGAGACTGAAGATGTATACTTCACTGTATCACCCGCAGGAAAACTAAAAATATCTAAACGTTAGCCTCTTGGTGCATCTTGTTTTGACGCTCCCTTGCAACAGCCCAATTAGCATCTACGTGGAAGGAAAAGTCTCTTCCACTTGAGTATTTTTCTGTTGGATGCACTGAAATGCTGAAGCTCTGATGCACCCCTAACAGAGATGCCAGCAGCATCAACAGGAGAGACAAAAATTTACCACAATCCAGACCTCAATTTAGAAATCCTTAAGATCCAAACGGCGGGAGCTGAGCAGAAGGCAGTGAACGACGAAGAACTTCTGCAAGTGTGTAAGGCAGAAAAGTACTGACAGGAGAAGGAAGAGAGTGCTTGGCTCAGCTCAAAGCAGGGACCGTAGCGCTGGCTGAGAGGCTATCTGGAGCTGAAGAACAAATAATGAACTTAAGAGAAGCTCAGAAGATTAGCAGATAAAATAAACACCGAGGGACAAAAGGTGAAGAGTAGAGAAAGAGTCTAACGAACAGAGAAACGTCTTTGGAGGTTTCGTTCAGATGCATGGCTGCTTGCTGGCTCACAGCAAGAGCTTCGATAATCCAGTATTGCAAAAATCAAACGCCAAACTCCACCAAAGGAGGATGATAACAGGGTGAGTAAATCTAGTTCTTTCCCCCCAGGTCTTCTCCCAGCTTCTCACTGTGGTCAGCTCAGGCACTTCTTGAGCAGCCAGTCCCCACCGACCCCCGGTGCCCCTCCTGGTCATGAAGGGTCAGAAGCGGTGAGCAAAACACCAGGAGAGTGCCCAGAGCAGAAAAACAGATGCCGGTATGGGCTCCTGCAACTTTTTTAGCTTTGCTGTAAAAAGACGGATTTTTTTTTTTTTTTTCTTTAGAGCAAGAGGTGGGGAGTTTCCAGAGCTCCCGGCAGGGTGTGAGCTCTCCCCAGGAGCAGAAGGGGCAGGAGAACGTGAAGAACGGGAATAAGCGCGCTGGGGATTTCAAAGCGATGGAAAGCACAAAGCTACAAAAATATCTCCAGTCAAAAGATAGCAAAGGAAGCTATTTGCAATTATAGGGAATTTCTCAAACTGGCCTCTCTAAGCAGGCAAGGACATATGGCTGGATGTGCACATCTCTGCCCACCCATCAAAGCGATCAGCCACGGTGCCAGGAGGTTAAATACCCCTCCCAGCATCATGATGACAAAACTGGGTACTACAAGAAGAGGACACAACATCTGCATCCGCTTATATCTCTAAAATTGGTAAATATCCTTAACAGGATATAAAGAAGTTATTTATTTCAAGTAGCATATTCGCCGCATTAATTGGGCACCCAAAGACAAGTGAAACTCCTATTCCTTTCCAGCCACAGAGCCGCAGGAACCAAGGAAGAATCTTTTAACAAGTTTGGCTGCCGTAATGAACAAAAATATGGTATTTTTTTGTAAACAATTACTGTTCTAGAAACTGCTGTATCAGGTAAATTCAGCCCAGTAACACCTGTAGCCTTCCCAGGTATCGCCACCGCGCACGTCTGGCTCCACAACAGGACGCCCAGGTCACAGCGTGTTGTCTGCAGAAAGTCTAGTTTGATTCGATGCAACAACTAACAAAAAAGTTTGCTGAGCTCTCAGATGCAGCATGGCGTCTCTCCATAGCTCTATTACACAAGAGAAGGCTTGGTTTGTTTTCCCAAAATACTAGAAAGAGATTGAGAAGACAGTAAGGCAGCGGATATACTGTAAACTAAACCAATTAATAGAAATCCTCAAGCTAGACCATTTTACAGAAAGGACGGTGTTTATAAGACAGAAAATCAAGCTTGCCTGTACTTCTACCCATAAACATAACAGCACAATTTCATCATCTTGTGAAAAATTATAGCAAGAGTCCTTCTCATAAATCAACCAGTCCAACCCATCAATCACTATCAGAGGAAGTAGTTTACTGCTCATGAGAGGGAACATTTCATTACTAGTGGATTTGAATTTCATCAAAGCAGCAAAGTTCTTTTTAAGACCCACTGTGAGCAATGCTCCCCGGCTGTGACGAGAAAAACTGTGTTGAAATTCAAAACTAGAATACTGAAGAAGACTGGGAAAAGGCAATTCCGTTTTAATACATGCATGGGGATGTTTAATTAATCAGGTTCAACTTTTACAGACATCGACTGCTAGGCAAATGCAAGCAAGCCTCAATGAAAGTTTACCCCATACGTGAAAATGAGTTTAAGATGCCAAAAAAAAAAAAAAATAAAATAAAGTTGCACTCAGTGCGTGAGCTTCTATTGCTATTTCCCGCACCTGGGAAATCAACACTGGTGTCTCCAGGTCTTCCAGCTGCCACCAGCCACAGCAGCACAAGTGGCCCTGTCCTGCTAAGCGGAAAATATGAATTACACACCCCAACTGTACCTCCCAGGCTCGGGGCTAGCAAGAGCCCACGGCAAAATACAGGCGGGAGAAGATGATGACAAAAATGGTGCATCGCTTTTCAACGGTATAAAAGTCAGGAGATAATCTCCAGCAGCAACCACAGAACGAAGAACCATTGCTTCACCTAGTAACAAAATTACTCCAATATTTAAAACTAATTTTACTGCCTGGGGATTGGAAAAGTAGAACTTTGCTTAACATGACGGTGAACCACCCTCCTCTTCCAAAAAAGCCTCCACCGTGTGTGCGCACAGAAGTCCTACCTGTTTCATCGCCGTCTCTCCAATCTTGTCAGAGTGCTTACGGATACTCTCCAGGAAATCCTTGAGGTCTGACATGGACACTTCTTTGATCTCTTCACGCAGCTTTGGAATATTATCCACCATGATCTTGCAGAAGCGGTAGTGGCTCACTTGGGGCAGGTACGTGTGCTCAAGGTGCTCCAGGGTCTTGAGAGCAGGGTAGTGTCTGGGGAAAGCAAGCAAGGCAGATGTGGAAAGAAGCACGGCTATTTCCATCCCACTGCCCCTCCAAAACGTGTGCTAACTGTAAATAATTTAACATACTGAAGAACCTCAGCTGTTTTCAAAGGAACATAGACCTGAGCATCCAGGTCACCATAAAAGCATCGTTTTCCTTTTGAAACAGAGCAGCAGAGGCACAAAGGTGAGTAGCAGCTCCTTACTCACAGCTCGGAGGTGCAGACAAGGAGCAGCCGGTCACAAGCGGCCAGCAGCAGCTGAGCCCAGCAGCAGCTCTCACCCACGGTAAAGCCTTTTGGGGCACCACATCACAGAGCGAAGGAAAAGCTGGCAACCACACATAGCGTTAGGTTATGTGAGAAAAAGCTCAGCCCCATGCACAGGGCACGAGGGCTCATGGGGGAACCCCAGAAAGACCCTGCACTGGTCTCCCCAGGAGACCCATCGGCCCGGTGGATGGAGGTGACACCCATCGAGGCGAGCGGGTCTCTGGAGCACCTCATACACCTCGGCCATGCTGCCCGAGTCAGCAACCCCTGACAGCGAGGTGCCGTCAGACAGAAGCACGGAGACGGGAATATGCCATAATACACCACAGACTGATAAACTCGTGTCTAACGCCCGCTGATATCCACTGCCTGCTACCAGCACGGGTGCTTGCTACTCTGTTGTAAAGACCCCAGACACGAGCGCTCTCCGACTTCTTTCCCCGTGCATACCAGGAGTCAGATCCCACCTTTCTCCCGGCTGTTCAAATGCTGATAAGCACCATTAAAAACACTTTCCACTCCAAGCACTTTTTATTTAGACAGAGGTGAAAATCTAGATAAAACGCCCAGATTAGGGGTCCAACGGATACGTTTTCTACAAAGCCCCTGCCTCTCTAGCAACTACTGCTGTACCACTGGGGTACGTGACCTTTGCAATGTCGAAAAGAATTTATTTCCCCACTCTATAAGAACCATACCTTATAAACTTAAGAACATAAGAATCCCAGCGTTTCTTCCCCTATGCACAATGCATGCCTTTATATTCTGGTCAGGCCCAACGGCCTTAGGGAAGGTACTGTAAATTTTATCCTACCTTTCCGTGTAAAAGCTACCTTCATAGCCTGACAGAAGATGCTAAATAGGAAACTGTTCTAAGCAAATCATTCTTCTCAAACGCCCTCCCTCTTCTCCCCTGGGGAAGTGGGCGTCCATAGGATTTGCCTGTTCGCTGGAATTCAGGGGCCCTCCTGAATGGCAACGTAAAATGCGAGACCGTCCCTCTCCTGGTCTGACCACAGATCTGGTCAAAGGTTAAAAAAAAAAATTATCAGGGAACCATCTAGGAAACATTAGCAGGGTCTATAAAAACATATTTCAGACTAACACCAGGTCACAGTCACCTCTTGGGTGAATTAATGCAATTTTAACCGACTATACCCACGGTTAATCCTGGCCACAAGCACCTGCCACTTGCACCTTGAATTCTTGGGGGAGAAAAAGTGTTTAGTCATAAGAAACAAAGCAGCACCGCTGAAAAAAACCTGACACTCATATCCCCACTCAAAATAATTCTTGCCTGAACTCCAGGCAAGTCCACAGGGGAGTTGTTTTAACCAGAAGTGGCCTGTCCTGTTCCCAACACCAGAAGTCAAACAGATTAACCCCGTAACTCAGCCGGTGCTTACACTACGGTGAGGTATGAAAAACTATTTGCAATAAAATGCAAACCTCTCTGGAGAGAAACTTAGGAGTGCACAGAAAGCCAGAAATCAAACCAGAGGAATAAACACGCATTGGGGCGTTTGTTATATTTTAGGGCGTTGCTTGTTGAACCAGAAGCAGCGAAAAGGCGGCCGGGGGGACAGCGCGCGGTCACTGATGGGGTCCCCGGCTGCCTGACAAAAACAGAGTCCGAAACACGCGGGGGCAGAGGAAAGCTCAACACCGGTCTTGCACGAGACAGGCGATTCCTGCGGCTGAAGTACCGCCGCCTCAGCCCAGACTACACCCCTCACGCTAACGCCTGTTACCAGCCACCCCGAGGGGCCACGTCCTCGCCCAGCTCTGCACCCCCGGGACCACGGCACCAGTGGAACGGGAGCGCCCGCCGACGGGGGAAGCAGCGTTTTGCTAGAACAGAGTCAGAGCTGGCTTTTAGGGTTTTTTTCTGGCAATCCCCAGGCCCTGCTCGGGGGGTACAGCTCTGCAGAGGCTTCTCGGCTACAGGCAGGACGAAGCGTTCTCATTTCATGGTTGTGCCAAGTGACTTGGGGTAAAAAAAGACGGATCCCTCTGGAGCCCTGCGTAACCAGGAGGGATCTTGGAAGGCAGGGCTGTGTTTCTCATCACTTTCCAAGAAGCAGCCACATGTGGCCCAGCTGCTGGACAAAAGCTCTTTCTGTCCCTTCCTTAAATTCTGGACAACAGCAGATGAAACATTTCTCTCCATCTCTTCTCTCTGCTGGTTGCACAGTCACTCCTCCGGGTTCGGACTGTGGGTTCCCCAGCTCCAGTTGACGGCCACAGATTCTGCATTTGGCAAACGCCTGTGTTCGGTTTACAAACCTAACGCAGCAAACAGCACGTAACTCATTTTGTCTACCTGGGGAAAGTTGAGTTTATTCACCCAGAATGCAAAACCTATTACTCCTCTGAGACTGCGTACCCAAAACCCGAGCTCACGCTAGGAACCAAGCCCCTGGCTGCCTATCATGAAATGATATATAAGTGAGAGCGGGTGCAGACACAAAAATATTTAATATGTTGTGCTGCACTGGGTGAATGAAGCCATCAAACCCAGACAAAGAAAGAAGAAGGGAAAAAAAGCCAAGGGTTCAGATTTTCTTTAAATGTGGCTTTCAACTTCTATTTGTTTCAAAATGAACCAACCCAAAGCAGGGGGGGGAAGATACAATTCTTAGAAGCAGACCCTGGAAACACTATCCAGAGCGAGGGAATCGAGCGGCATGTGGATTCCCTTCAAAAGTTCACAGCGCTGTGATGGGCTCCAGCTCCCCACCCCACATCTGTCAATGGATAAGCCCCTCGCTGTTCCTATAAACAGACTAAAAACAGTTGCACAAACTGTATGCTGCCCTATTCTGTACTGAGCCATCCCGAGAAAGAGAGAGCAAGGTTTCCAAACAGCTAAATAAGCTCCCTGTAACTCCTCCGGCCAGCCCAGCTTTCAGGAGTAACGCGTATCTGTTTACCCAGGGCTCCTGGGTCCAAGGACCCCAGAGATCAGCAGAGGCGGGAGGGGAAGTGTAAAAATACGCCCAGCGAATTAGTTATCTCCTTGTTCGAAACATCTGGTTTCTTCTGTATTGTTTCTGTGATGGATGGCAGGCACGAACCAGGCATCGGATCGGATTGCTCTCCCTGCGTGGCATTCAGCTGGAGCCTGCCGTGTTTTCAGCTGACCTCCTTCCAGCGGCTGCTCTCGACCCAATTTGCCACCCCCAGGGCTACAACGCGCCTCCAAAGTCCCACGCTGCTTAAACAAACCATCCCCCAGGATCCCGGCCATGCCAATATCCCGGTCCGTGGTTTCAGCATTGCAACAGATGCGGGGTGGGAAAAATCCTAGATTTACAGCTCATGATTTCTGAGCCACGAAGCCCCTGCAGTTCAGCTCACTCTTCTGAACAATTATTTCTGCTGCAAAATAAGCCGTATGCCTTCCTACCAACTCCTACCATCCTGCACAACGTTTCTCAGGTGTTTGGCTTCCATTCACGTTCATCGGATTCTCTCAGATTATATCAGGTTTTGTATTATGACATGCATAGAATGAAATTCAGTTCATAACGCATAAGCAGCAAGGCGTGCATTGACTGCATGCATCACAACAGTGAGCTTCCATGAAAAAAAAAAAAAAAAAAGTGAACATCCACCGTAATTAAAAAGCCTAACACAAAACGAGAGCCCGCTGCAGTCCCGGCTCTAGGCTGCACCGCAGGAGGCCGAGCAGGACAGTGAAGATACCAGCCAGAAATCAGATAAGTTAACTTGGAAAGGCTGATTTTGAAGTCCTAAGTTTTGAGAACCTCTAATTTATCCGGCAGCAAACGGGGGCTTTTCAACTCTTCCAATACAAACAACCAGTCTATACAAAATTTACCTTTTAGATTTCATTTGCTCTCGGAGTTTGCTGTACATCTCCAGGACTGGAAAGAGAAGGAAAACACACAAACATTGAGACACAAGCACAAAGAGACATGAATTAAAATAAACAGTTATACAAATAAAGAGCAATTTCAGATTCCTCACCCGGAAGACACAGTGTTAGCTTATCAACCGTCGCCGAAATATTTCTCTGTTGTAATCGGCATTGCTTCAGCTCTTCCATTGCTATTATCAACTTTGGAAAAGAAAAAAAAAAAAGTTTCACTAAGAACAGTAAACAGACAGGGTAGAGAGGCTATACGCTGCTTGGCACTTCTCGCGACCATCCAAACAGTAGGGTGACAGCGAAGCCCGCCCCGATAACCGCAGAGCTCGCCCGGCACTGCAGAGCGCTGCTGGAACAGGCAGGACCGGCAGCTTCGGGCGGTTTAATCAAGTAGCAGACGCATTCCCTAGCCTAATTTCAAGTAAGCAAGCAGCAAAACCAAAGCCATCAAAATACCAGCCTTGTAGCACATCCTGCGAATTCCAAAAATGATTTCCCCTTCCCATTTGATTCATTTCTCCCCTACTCCCTCTCCAAGCTTCTCCTTTCTAGTTCTTCTCAAAGACAGGACGTGGCCGCTCGCTCCCGGGGGACCCGCACCATCACAAACTAACAGGGATTTTTAAACGCTCCATCTCCAACAGAAAAACCTGTGCATCTGGACAAGGGCAAAACAAGGACTGGCCATCGCATACAAAGGAAAACTCTTTAGTTTCTTTTTTCCGAAGGGCAGGTCATGGATTTGTCCTCCAGAGCACCAGCTTATCTCCACAGTACCAGACTGAGATTGCAAAGTCCTTTTGAAATCCCAGGCTCCTCTGCTCTTGGAGGTGAATCCTCCGTTCAAGGTAACGGAGGTATGTTTATTTGATTCAGGAGAGAAGCTGCATCGTCACCTCCCCAACGGGCATCTTTATCTTTAATCTTTATTAGAATAATTGGTCTGATGCAGTCCAACATGGGGATTTTCTTGTTTGTTTTTCAAATACAATGCAGCTGGCTGAAATAGTAATGCCTGCACGTCCTCTGAGCAAAATGAAGTCTGGGTGTGTGGGAAGGCAGTTAAGAAAGAAAATAGGAAAGCTGCGAAGAGTAAATTTATATGTTATATGGGCAGAGCAATGCAATTCATCAGGAGGACAGAAAAAGAGGGGAGAAGGACCGTCCCTGGGAGCTCTCACACGTCTCCATCTCAGGCACTTGAAAAACGTCAAGCATCAGTGCCTTCGTGCACACTCAGCTCTGAAGCCCCCCCAGTCTGTTCACGCTCCCTTGTGATGAAGGGGCAGGAGGAGGAGTGTGGTTAGAGGCACATCGCATCCACGACGTGCTCAATCACCTCCTTTCCTCCACGCCTTGATGCCTCTACCCATGCAGCTCAAAAACCACCCTGACTTTAATTGCTGCTGTACTGCGCTGTGAAGCGGGAGCCAGACTCTCCAGCTCATATTCACAGAATGGTTTGGGCTGGAAGGGACCTTTGAAGATCACCTAGTCCAACCCCCTACCACGGGCAGGGACACCTTCAACTAGACCAGGTTGCTCAAAGCCCCGTCCAAACTGGCCTTGGACACCTCCAGGGATGGGGCACCCACAGCTTCTCTGGGCAGCCTGGTCCAGGGCCTCACCACCCCCATCATAAAAAATGTCTTCCGTACATCCAATCTAAACCTACCCTCCTTCAGTTTAAAACCATTCCTCTTTGTCTTGTCGCTACAGGCCCCGGGAAAAAGTCTCTCTCCATCTAAGCACTGAAAGGCTGCAATCAGGTCTCCCCGCAGCCTCCTCCTCTCCAGGCTGAACCCCCCCAGCTCTCAGCCTGTCCTCACAGCAGAGCTGTGCCACCCTCGGAGCATCTTCATGGCCTCCTCCGGCCCCGCTCCAACAGCTCCATGTCCTTCCCGTGCTGAGGACCCCCGAGCTGGACGCAGGGCTCCAGGGGGGTCTCCCCAGAGCGGAGCAGAGGGGCAGAACCCCCTCCCTCGCCCCGCTGCCCACGCTGCGGGGGATGCAGTATTGTTGTGAGCGATCCCATTCACACCACTCAGGGCTGCAGGAGCAAGCCTACAACTTGATTATCGTTGCTTCAAGTCCTTCCTGCTTCCCAGGCTTTGCCTCCCACTAGCTTTCAATCCACAAGCAGTAAAAACGAAAAATGACTTCCCCACACTCTCGCACAACTCATCTTTCATGCAGAAAAGCAAAACACAGGAGAGAGAATCAACACACGCTTTAATACCAATGCTGTGTACATTATCAGCTAACGCTGAGCAGTTATTGATGCTCAGTGTAATTTCCCACTAGCAAGCATAGCCAAATGATGGAAAAGCAAAAAACAGAATGAATGACTGTGTCACTTACTTCTTTTCCTTCATTCTGCAGCTTTCGGTTGGTGTCCGTCACTTGATTCTGCAGGGACATTGGGGGGAAAAAAGAGAAAGCCCATCTACATGTATATCAGGACAATGTTTTTCACAAAAAAGAAACTGTCCATAAACACCATGACTTTTCACACAATCTTCTCTTGCATGGCATAGAACTGTTTATTAGCTGATTGAACAGTCATCACCACTCAGGCACACGGGATGCCCACAGCCTCACAGCAATACCAAGGATTTTCTTCCCTGCTACTAGAGAAAAGGAAACGGCAACAGGAGTTAACACTGCTGCATGGCAGCCTCACGACGCGGCAGTCTTAACGGATCAAATGTCGCAGCAGATGCTCACATCGGTTCTCATCTTAAAAGCTATTTTACCTGAGTGGTAAAGGAATTCAATTTCCCCTCCCCAACACCGAATAGATTACAAATTAGGTTTTAACTCTTTAATATCGCAGCAAGAAAAGAACTCTTCAACGTGGGCTTTAGCCATAAAGTGCCAATACTTTCTTTTAGATCTTCAGATGCATCTCCCACTATATCCCTCCTCCTGGCTGGTATAAAAAGGTATTTTTACATACCTGACGTATACCTGGTATAAAGAAGGTATCTATTTGCTTTGCTAAACCATCTTTCTGTATTATCCTATCAAGCTGGGGCTCACGGTTCAAGAATTTCCCACTTTGCAAACTTGGACTAGCAAGATCACAGCGG